CTTTCATAGGCGTGAGCAGGTCCAGAAAAATTCTTGGAGCACGAAATAGGATTAGAGAAAGCAAAAGTAAAGGAAGAATAAAAGATAAGTCGAATTTAAATATGTTGATAAAATGAAATTTAAAGTGTAGGTAATAAAGGAGAAAGAGGATGACTTCGTTTTAGAGGCTTGAACTTACACGTTGGGACTCGGAGGGTGGACAAAGCGAGCTAGCTTGATCGTTGGTGAATTTAGATGCAGGTATGGTAAGATCAGAGGGAAAGGAAATTAATTCGCTAGGAACGACTGTAGTCATTGCCGGTTCATTGAAGCCCCTAGCAATAGAGCAATGGCTAGCCTCGATTCTTTCTAGCTCGTGAAGCACGTTCCTTAACTCTTTGCTAGTGTCTGAAATCCAAAGAAGAATTTTGTTAGATGTAACAGGTTGGTACTTGTCGCTTATGTCGAAGAATGAAAATTGAATGTCCGATTCAACACCGTCTGAAAGTAAAAAAAAAATTTTTCTTAAGAAAAAGAAGGAAATGTGAAGCTCGTTCAGAACATAAGGGCATTTATATATGAAATTATATAGCTTTATATGTATACAGGATTAAAATATCACCAAGTACTAAGTTTGCTGGAGTAGGCTACAAGACTATCGGTGGAACTCAGAAGAAGATATAAGTCACCTCGGATCGCATAGGGTAATGTAGGAATGATAGTTGAATATCTTAGAATGAATTTCAATTAGCCTTGCGCCACAAAAGACTTACTGTTCTAAACTGGAAAGCAATTGTGGAATCACCTAGATCTCATTAGAAACTCAAAAATAAATGTAAACCAGGTTCTTCAAGGCGAGCTTCAGAATGTTACTACTCCGTACAGCAATAAGTTTTGGCTTCTTTCAGTCCATATTTTACAATGGGATTGTTGTATATAATAAAAATTAATGTTTTCGACTAAAATTGATTACATTATTATGTTTTGATTGCATAGGATTATAAATTGTAAGTCAATATTAGAATTTCGAAGCGTAAACATTTATAATATTGTTGAGTGGTGCGTAATAACTATAAATTTTCTCTATCGACAACAATTTAACTAAAAATTTAAATTATCTAATGTCATGGAAATAGCATTTGCACCAACTCTCGTAGTTCTGAAACAGATGTAAAGCTCTGCCGCTCGATGTGCATGATTAATAATCTTTATTTATCCAGTCCACGTATAATCACATTAAACCTTCATAAGTTAAGGATTTAGACAATTTTAGAAAATTGTTTCTGACATACGAAAGCTCAATACAGATTCATCGGGGCAGGATCACAATGTGTAAAAGATTTCTTGGCATAAATTAAGTCGCAACTTCAAATCAAACCCATTGCAATTTCAGGTAAGAACAATTTATAATCCTCAAAATCAAATTTTCATAGAGAACTATAGGTGATATGGGACTATTAAGGAA